CGGGGAGAGGCCCGGCCCTGTGTCAAGGCGGTTCCTACGCCGGGAGGGGGGGTATGAGCGGGCCTTACGCCCCGCTGTGCCGGTCGCCGGCCCGCAGCTGCGGCCCCCAAGAGCCCCCCGCGGTGGTTCTGTCAGACGGCGAAGGCTGCCCGTCCCCCACGCCTCCTGCTCGGTCCGATTTCCCTCTGGAAGGGGGTTCCCTCTTTAAAGAAGAGAGACCTGCCCCAGCCACTGCTCTTTCTTCAAAATTTATTCCCGTCATTATTCAAAGCAGTTTATATTTAGGCGCTTGTGTGCTGTGGTTTTCTGCGTATTCTGCTCACTCGTCTGTTGTGTTCCTGAAACGTTTTCAGCGGTTTATGTACTCGCCTTTCATCTGAAGTTTACTTTATAAACTCTTGGCTCAGAAACTATCCCTACCCGGTCTTCAGGGGATACTGCAATGACCAAGAGAAAAAGATTAACAGATAACACTAGCAAATCGCTGCTTGTGTTCGTCTGGCATAATAGTTACAGAATTAAACTTGGATTATACTGTAGGGTTTATTGCTAATTTGCCATAGGGAAGGGAATATTGCTGAAAAGTAAAAATGGGTGAACTTTAATTCCTGAATATTAAATGTTTTGTTTCCGCTTTCTAGGAGGAAACACTAATATTAGGAAATGGCAGAAGCAGTTTTTCATCCCCCAAGAAGGAAAAGAAGAGTTCTTGAGTCGTACGAGTCTCCGTTTCCTGTGGATGTAGGTGGGAAGGATTTCAGAATGTGCCAGGCTGAAATCATTAACAACAATGTTATTGTGAGGAACCCTGAAGATATTGAACAGCTGTATAACAAGGTGCTATATCCTGTTTGCACAGTATGTTTAGTGTTTTAGACACAGGTAGAGCATAATACCTGTTAAAATCTGCCTGCATTTATGTCTTCCTTCCCCTTTAGCCTCCAGTAGTTCTCATATCTCCCTCCTCTCCTGAAATCAGTACAAAACATATATGTGGTATCAAATGTGAAAAGTATTTAATTCTTATCCCAGCAAATAGATTTTGGAATTAAGTGATGTCGTCAGCTAAAAAACAGCTGCAGAGACTTCACGTTTGTTATGTTTATTTCTCCTTTCAACATTTTATGCGACCTTGCAAAAGCATTTTCTTGTTTTTAAAGCTCAGGAGGTTGTAATCTTAATGTTTTATAAATGCTTGTGTAATTCTTTTAACTTCAGAGTGATTTCTTCCCGAGTAAAATAGCTACATTAAGCTTCTTATGTCTGAGTACCATTTCACCACCATTCTTAAGCAGTAGCTTTATCCATCTCTTTGTTTTCTATTGTGCATTGTCACAGCATTGAAACACAGGTGTTTTCTTATGCATCTGCTTTCAAATGTCTACTTGGAGATGCCGACTGACAAATATTTAGAATTGAGGAAGAAGGCCCAACACCCTCCACTGGTCAAATCTTTGAGTGCAGGTGTTTAATATTGAAGTAGTTATCAGAAGCTAAGCAACGAGCTTCAGGCAAAGCTTAAATGCTGCAGAATTTCAGTTATTTTTTTCAGCTGATCTTGGCAGTAAATGTTTTATATTTGGAAAGAAGTTCATTTTTGTCGGATATAATAAGGATTTTTCCTTTTCTTTGAAGGGCTATTTTGGAAAAGGTATCCTTTCAAGAAGTCGACCAGTGTACAGCATTTCAGATCCCTTACTGGTTACTAAGTGGCAAGGTAAATTGTGCCCATTTGTACTTCCATCCCTATTCTAATAATAGTACTTTTCACTTTTCTTCACTCATTGAAGATACATGTTTATAAATTACACACGGAAAAATAATCTCTCTGCTGGGTCAGATCAAGGATCTCTCTCCTCCTATACCTTGTCTCTGATGATGGCCAGTACAAGATCCCTAGGAAAAATACAAGAACAGGAAACATATGTCGATAGCTCCTTAGTGTGTTCTCCTAGCCTTCACTGATTTGTTAATTAGGAAGTCTGTAAGTAAAGGCATCATCCTTGAACTTTTCTTCCTCTAACTGTCCAGTTTTTCTTGGTTTTAATCTGTAGATTTCAGTGTCCATGAAATCATGAGGCAAGGATATGTAAAATTTTTAATCTGGTTATAGCCAATCTGGTCTGCTCTTGGTCATTTATAGAAAGACTGTCTTTTTACAGGCTGGAGAAGAATAGTGGATTTAAGTGTTCCATTTGTGCAGGGTGTTCAGTCTTTGTTATCTCTGTACCTTTTCTAGTTCTGTTATGTCCTTCTTGAATACAAGTTGGACCAAAATGGCAGAGGATTGAAAATGGGGGTAAATATGAAGCCACAGATTACCTCAATGCTCAAAGTCATGTAAAAACATTTTTATATTGATGAAACAATGTATGATTTTTCTTTATACAGGTGTTAACATAAACATGCCTATAATTGCATCAAAAAAGTAAGTTAATTTACATTGTTCTTGGTTTTTTTAGAAAACAGATGATTGTATTTTATGTTTTATCTTGCTGGTTTTCAAATAGTTGGCCGTATGCATGCTGATGACTTGCTTCTATTTCTTTTCTTTGTATTTCATTTATAAATCGCATTAGGAAAAGTAGAAATATAGTAGGTTCAGCATGGTTTTACATGTAAGCTTGCATGTATTAATTGCTGTTTAGAAGCCAAGATTGAGTGTATACATAGTAGTATGTGTAATTAATTCATAATAATATCAACCATAATAAACTTGTCTTTCAGCTGAGAAGGAGAGAAAGAAGTTTCTGGGGCAGGCTATTTAAAATAACTTTCCCAATTCCTTATTGAATTAATATAGCGTTAATTAATAGGCTGAAGCTGCTCTTGAACTTTTCTAATACATAAATGTTTCATTTTTTTTAAAAGTCTCTATTAACACTGCTAGTTTGTACATTTAAGAAAACAGAGTGTTGGACCACATCTTTATTGTTCTGCTTAAATAGTATATGAACTAACTGTAAGAATGTGCAAGTTAGTTACCCTGTTTGCTTTAATCCTACAATAATTCTAAAAAATTTTACTTTACTTAAATTTAAAAGTTATGCTCCTTCAGTCCTCAACTTTAGGTAAGGCAAACAGTAGCAATATTACTACTGCTGCTACTACAGTTGTTACTGCTTGCAGAAACACTTGTCATTCTTACTAGTCTACTTTGTGACTGCTTTATGTGTCAGCAAATACAGCTGAGCATCAATGACAGTGTTACATTGGTGCAGAAGGTGCATCATGATCCATCTCAGTAGAGACCTGTAAGTGCAAATTACATTTAAATCATAGGATAAAGAGGAGTCTATTTTTTATAACAAAAGGTACAGCACTGAATTATATAGCTTTATTATGAGACTCCAGAGAGACTTATATTTTGTGTTGACACATGCAATTTGCATTTAATTGTCTTTGCAGTTCTTCATTACCTGGTCTGTAATTGCTGTGTTGGGGTTTTGTCTGGGGAAATAAAGAATAGATTTGTCCAAGTTTGAATAAGGATAGCTGCACTCAGCTACCTGTAACTTTCACAAAATGAAGATTAATGTCTTTGACTGGATATTGATGTTATCTTCCAAGGAGAAATAACTAAGGGGGCACTGAAAGCTCTTATAATTTAAAAACATTAGAAGTATTTACAGCTTTCAGCTACTATCTCACTGATAGAATTATTGTTATTTCTCAGGGATGTGAGGGTTTTGGTTAAAACTGAAGGTAGTTTCTGTTAATGATTTTTATACTGGTGGTTTTGCTATGCGATTGCTGTTTCAAAGGTAGTTAAAACAGAGTTTGAAGATACTGTTCTCAGTAGTTAGCTGTATAATAGATGAAGTGTGCGAGAGATCTATCTGCAAAGTCTTGTTGCATATTTTCATCATGCAGGCTCTGATACCAGGATGGTTTTGCAGGGAATTCAGGCTTAAGGCTTCCATGGGAGAAAGGAGTTTTTGCTGGTGAATTTCTTGCTTCCTGAAACTATGTAGCAGTAGTCCTTAATGCATGGTCTTTGCACAACCTTCAGTAAGGGTGTTTGCCACAGAAATTGAACAGGCAAAACAAAGCTCAAGAAGGTAGCAGAATCTTGATGTTCAGTCATGTCTGCAGTTGTCTGAAGACTGGAGTCCTATTACATTGTGCATGTTGTATGTTGCATAGCAGTTATTGGGGGGGGTGTTCAGATTTGTTTTGTGAACTGTGCTGAATCTTACTTTTTTTGAGATGTTTCTGAGGTGTTAATTAAAGGATGTAATGCCCTAGAACTTCTCATTTACATGTTTACTAGGTACCAGTGTCGTGTTCAGTGGGCTAAAAGTATTTTGCAAGAGCAAGGATTTGATGACTGCTCGGTTACCAAAATTCTTGAGAATTACACTAAGCCTCTTAAGCTGCTGGTTTTGGAAGAGGATGGAGCTGAACAAACCGGTAATAGTTGCAACAGAATGGGCCTAAATACAGAAAATACGGAACTTTCCAGACAATATTCTACAGACACTGGAAATGTAGCCCCAAGTCCTGAGAATCAGAATGAAGGCTACAAGAAAGCCTGTTTGGGAGGAGATCCAGCGTTTGATCCTGTGGCCATATGTGGCTCTAAACAACAGGAACAAGATGACTCAAAGGAGATAGCTGAAGTGTCTTGCCAGAAGCATGGTTTTCTCGTGCATTGTGGCTGCAAGGCTAAGGAGAGCACAGAGCAAAGATCTTGTGAGATGATCAAGTCAAAAGAATGTGCTCCAGAGTATGTATTGGTGCAAGAGGAAGAAGAAGGTAGCTTATGTCCTGAAGATGAGTCTGCTCATGCGCAAGAAAATGTAAGGTTAAAGAGTATCCTAATCTTTTAGAAAAAATTATGTCATCAGTGCTATTTTCAGAATTCAATATTTTTTCCAGTTTAAAGTTTTAGTAATATAGTAAATTTTTCTTGTAGCTTGTCAAGAAGGAAAAACTAGTATGCAGAAGAAATCCATTTAGGATTTTTGAATATTTACAACTCAGCTTGGAAGAGGTATGCTTCAACTACAGTACAAGTTGTTTTACTTTAATCTGAGAAGTAAACATTAATCTATGTTACAATGTAATTTAATACCTGTTTCTAAAGTACAGGGTTCCCCTGTGCGTCCTAAGTATTTGGATTTTCTTAGTCATTAAACTTATTTTTAATAACCTGCGATAATTACATGATATGGTTAAAAAACATATGTAGGGTCCAATCCCATTCACTTTTGATGAATAATCCCACTGACAAAGAGACCAGTGGTAGGACTTAAGTATAGAAATACCAGGAATATAACATTTGTATAAATCCTGCTTTGATTGTGCTGCTTCTAAATATATTCGTGTGTGTTAGTTTTAACACCATGCCTTCAAGAGTCTACAGCACATGCACAGATTTTTTTTGTAGTGCTGTGTCTGTTGAAATGTAAAGGTCATGAAGACAAATCTCAAAGGAAACCTTCAGGCAACCTGTTTGTCTTGATGACATTAGGATTCTTGTACAAAATTAATTTGAGCCTGTGTTCTTGCGTGGAATATAAACTACAGGAAGAGTTTAGCTATCAGTTAAACTTATTCCATTTTTTTTTTTAGGCTTTTTTCTTGGTGTACGCTCTGGGATGTTTAAGTATTTATTACAGTGAGGTAAGAGATTGGATTCATTTTAGATTGCTGGGGATAGCATTAGTTTGGATATGTTTTGGTCTGAAATTTTTACCTACTATGGCAGTATTTTATGCTGTTAATTCTGAAGGAGAAAATACCAAACAGAGTAATTAAGGAAGCTTTTCTTACAAGTAATGATGTATCTGTTTATGAAATACTGGTCTGAATGTTTTGTGTTTACCAAGGCAAATAGAGTTAAGCACGGTCTTTCTGTAGAGAAAGGTTTTTGTTCTAACTTAGGCAGGAAGTATGGGGAAAGCAAGTATGGGAGGAGTAATATGGTGAATAGCCTCTCCTTCCTGAAACAGGAAAATTCCTTCGTGTTTTAAGCATTAATTTATAAGTATATCAAGCTACTGTTAATGTAATGACAAAATAATTGAAACCTGTGCTTCTAGTTTAAGTATTATCAGATTTTCCTTTAAACAAGGGCATTATGGAACTGATTGTGAAATACTAAAAAACGCACTAAATGGAGCAACAGGTTTCTGTCTTACATTTAGGGATTCCTTATTTTATTGCCCAAAGTTCATGCTCTTTGCAGTAGATTGTGGTATTTGATATTTGGCTGTTAAGCTCTACTACACACAGTATTCTATATCTGCTTAATATTAATGTAGCCACATTAATGCCTTTGGTTGTGATTTTTAGGAGCCCCTAACTATTTTGAAGCTATGGGAAGTTTTCAGCGAAGTGAAGCCCAATTTTAAAACTACCTACATGGCGTATCACTACTTCCGCAGTAAGGGTTGGGTCCCCAAAGTCGGACTGAAGTATGGAACTGATCTCTGTGAGTAGCTTCCTTAAAAAATTGAATCATTTGCAACTGAATTCTTTTCAGGCAGCGCAAGACTCCAGTGCCAAAAATGAATTCAACAGTGAGGAGCTGCATGACTGGAGCAGGCTTTGCTGCTTGCAGCTGGCAAAAGACATTTTTGGCTAGACTGTGGGTTAGCAATGGAGTTAGGATGCTAGTAGAAAATAACATCACATATGCAGTAGCTGAAGAGATAGCTTGAAAGGCCTGTTGTTTTGCTTCATGAGGTTAATGATACAGGATTGCACTGAAATTCCCTTCCCAGGTTTCTCTATCCCCTTCTAAACACATCTTCTGCAGTGTTAACGTGACAGTCTCTGGAACAGCAGGTTTGCATCTAGATCCCAATTCACATCAAAGACCATACCTCTCATTATTCACCCTGTTTAATGGAAGCTGGACTTCTGCTGCACTTCCTGCTAAGACTGTTTCTCTGAATTTTTTTTTTTTTGGGGGGGGGGGAGAAAGGGGAAACGACTTGCTTTTTTGTTAATGGTAGGGTTTTAATCTTACAGAAATAATTAGTAGTGTCCGTAATCGCTTGCTAAGTAATTCAAGAACTACATTCAGCTCGCGTCAACATAAACAGTACAGTAATGCTTGTCATTACAGGCAAATGTGCATAAAGGGAGATATTTTTTAATATATGCATGCAAACCAGCAGGTGTTTTAATACTGCTGATGCAGTTTTATAATTTGGGTGTTTGAGTATTTGAGTATGTCAAGGTTGTGCTGAGCTAGTCCTTTAGATCCACGTGTAGGTTTGGCTGAATTCATCATCACTGTTCTTAGTACCCTGGGTTGTAGATTGGGTTTTGCTATTGATCACCTGATGTGTATGTGAAATTGATACTAGTTGATTCACCATTCATTTGTGTTCTGGCCTGAATTTATTGTTTAGCATATCACTGCCTTTGGGTTTGTGTCAGACAAAGGAATTGGATTAGTTTAAGGCTAGTAGGAGTTCTGCCTTACTCCTGAGCTCCTCTGGCTGCTTGTTCTTTGGCAGTACCTTCTTAGAGTTGGTATTACTACAATTGTTTATAATAGATAATTTGCAAATCATGGTTGTCACTGGAATGAAGTGCTGCTCATCCTTTTCCTGACAGGGTCTGTGCTGGGCAGCTGTTATAAGAAAAGCTGTGCTAGTTAAAGAAAGTCCCTTCTTATAAGCTCATGACAAAAGGAAGACAGGAAATGTAACCATTCAGTTTAGTTACAGCAGTCCAGCTGCGATGAGTCTTGTGTACCCTTGTATAAAGAAGGAACTTTTAGTGGGTGTGGTGGGCAGTATGTAAGAACTTGTGCCCTGTGTCTCTCCTAAAACTTGTGGAAAATGCTTGCTTGGAACAGAAATTTGATGGCTTGTGATCTTTTAATTGTACTCCAGTGGCTCAACTTCTGTTGCAAATACAGTGTTAAAAGTATGAGTCTGTTGCAGAAAAATTCCATCCTAAACTTTTTCCCATGGCAGTTGCTAACTGTCCTTTGGCTCTTCTACTTTATCTTTTACCTGCCACTCCCCTGCCCTGAGTCACCCTGCGGCTCCCACAGTTTTTTTTGTCTCTTCACTCTCTCTGCACTTGCTGGGACAACTTAATTCTGAGCAGAATTCAAAGGTGTTGAAGTTTTGTCTTGTGTAATTAAAATTTATAAAACATTTGAAAATATCTATGGACCCTGGTATTAAACTTAGATGGAAACTCTGTGATTATCTAAGGGTGTTTCTCTTCCATTTCAGTGCTGTATCGAAAAGGCCCCCCCTTCTATCATGCAAGGTTTGAAGCTCATGTTTCTGTCTAATTTCTTAGTTTCAAATTAGTAAATTTCTCGCGCGCAAATTTAGTATCTTCACTGGTTAAGCACATATTCTTCACTCAAAATACTTTGCCAGATGCATTCATACTTGAAATGCAAAAGTCCTTTTAGCAGAGGTACTAAATAATGCAATTTCATTGAATTCATGTAACAGTAGTAAGACATTAAAAATTAAAGGTTGCAATGAGTATATTTAGCACTCATATGATGAATGCACTCAGGAAAGTAATTTGATTTAGTAATACTGACTTTTTAAAATATATGGTATGGATAATTTATGTAATTTGGGAGAAAAAACTTTTAAGGGATGATAATTGTCTTTATTTGTTCACTAGTCTGGTTGAACTCCTAGATAATAAATTGGTTATAAAAGTCAGACTGGCATTCATAAGAGAATGCCACAGGCATCAGCAGAAGGGTGGGGAGGGAAAGTGCCAGTAAGCATATTCACAACTTCATCTCTCTCCTCTTTTCTTAGTAGAAAGAGACTTAAGTTTCACAACTTGCTTACTGCATGCTGGCATATTGTTTAACACCAATCTTTAGGCTCTCATTCTTAAGTTTCATGATCTTCCAAAAATGGTAATTTCCTTTCCGTGAATTGTCCTATCTGCTTTGTTTTCCAGTTACTCTGTCATTGCTGAATTAGTTGATGATAATTTTGAAGGTCCTCTTCGCAGACCACTCAGCTGGAAGTCCTTGTCTGGGTTGAACAGAACAACTGTTAATGCTTCTAAGGTAAGTGTAAGATGCTAGTTTTAAAATAGCTTTAAAATGATAAATGTACAGTTTAGTTCCAAAGAACAGAGTGTCGGAGTGAGGCTGGGAAGAGAACCCTTCTGTTTCTAGTCTGCTGAAGAACATGTTGAGTTGCCAATAGGCGAACAAGTTTCCTTTGCCAATATCCAGATGAATTCTGGAAGCAGCTTATTAAAGAGCTGTTGCCTGTAGGAATGTTAAAAGTTGTGTGAGGAACTGAAGAAAGACCTGAGGGACACTTCTGTCCTGCTTGCCACTTCTGTTTTTAAAATCCTCTCCATCTACCAGGATTTTCTTTTGAACAGTGAAACTGAAAGTTTCCAAAAGCTTTTCTCTGTGATAGAGCCTCAGACATAGTGCTCCAATACTCACAGCCATGCTGCTCAGGTGTTGTGCTGAAATTCTATTTTATCCTATCGCAGTATTATGCTTTGGTAAGGAAAATGAGATACGCATATTATACAGCTCTCTCCAACTTGGTTTGCAGAAGACATCTTGTAGGAAACTCAGTATCTGCATAGCTAATTAATCTAAAACTTGTATAGAAAGAAATCAGTTGAAATTCATGTATTCATGTTTTCTGTTTGCCAACAGGAACTTATGTTATGCTATTTGATTAAGCCATCTGACATGACTGAAGAAGAGATGTTGACACCAGAATGTATGAAAAGAATTAAGGTTCAGGTGAGTAATTGCTTCTCTCCTTTGCCTGTGTAGCTTTGCCTTGGGACAGCTGGACAGCCAACTGTAAGAGCTCCCTTAAACTGTTGCTTGCTCTTTAGCATGCTTTGGTTTTTGCACACATAGCTGCAATAAAATAATGAGATTCCTTTGTGCCCCAAGGCATGAGAAGTGCATTGCAGGCTCTTTAAAGACTTAAGATCTTCTAATCCAAATTTTAATGTTGCTGCTACTGTGAATGTAAGCATTTGCATGGGGAGACAGGGGTACCTATGGAGACTGTAAGGTTAACATATATTTAAAAATGACGGGAGAAAAATGTGCGAGAGGCCAGTTCACTTCAGGAACAAATGTAGTCATCTACTAAAATTTCTCAATGGTCGCATAATATATGTCAATTTGCTAAAGGCTTAATCCCCGTCCCTCACTGATGACCTGTAGGGTTTGGGTTTTTCTTCCCCCCCCTCTCCATAATAATTGCTGGTTTTTATTTCAGGAACTGATTGTAACTCGCTGGGTTTCTTCCCGTGAGCGCAGTGAGCAAGATGAACTTTAACTGACTGTATAGGAAAAACTTATTTTTTTAAAAACTACTTCTTTTTGTTTTTTACCTGATCTTCTCATGATGAACCATTGCCTCAGAGTAGTTTCTATCAACAGATTCAGTTGGTATGTATAAATGCTATTTAAAATGAGGTATATCCTGTTTACTGGAGAGAATGTTGTATTAAAAACATAACTGAACTATAATAATGCATATGAAGGGTAAAAAATTAAAGCTGTCCCCGAACTTAAAGTACTTGTTTGTTTTATTAAAACTTACAAACGTGTATGTTTGAATGGTGGCTAGACTGCAGTCATTAGTAATGGTGTTTTTAATATTCTGACAGATCCAGGCATTAGTGCTGAATAGGCACTGTGGCCTGCAGAGCCACTGAAGTCCAAAACCTCTACGTCTGCCTGAAAGCCTAAGCAATGAGTGATCAGTTTTCTGGGAACACCTCACAGATTACTCAGAGATGAACTCAGGAATTGTAAGACTAACTTCGTTTTGTAGCTCAGCACAGGGTCCTACATTTCTTCAGAAATGAGAACTTAAATTTGATAATCCTCAAGTTTAATGCTGGTTTTTAACTGGTTAAAAGCCAGCAGTAATTAGAGTGAGCCAAATAACCTTTTGGAATACCTATGGTACCATTCTGCTTCAACCAAAACCTGACTTCATAGCCTTGATGAAGTTGCACAAACTGAGCTTTGGGGAGAGAGTTGGTTGTTGCAATATTGAGCATTGTAACACATTGTTGTTAAGTGCTTAGACCCTGGAATTCGGTGGCTTATTTTCACAAGCTCTGCTCAGAATTGAGGAACTCTTCCCAGAATGTGCAAGGATTTAAATTAATTCTGGGGTCTAAGCAGCTAACAGCAAAGTTAAGTGTTAGGCACCTTTCCCCACTAGGATAAGATGTCTGTCTTTCCCTGGGGTTTGCAGCATAAGATTCCTCCTTGAAAGTAAGGGCCTAATCTTGCCCCATGGCAGCAAATGCCCTGACCATGAGTTGATGCCCTTTACTTTTGCTGAAGGTGGGTTACTGTGCAGAAAATAATGCAGATTTGCTGAGCTGGTGAGAGGAAGTCTGTCTCTCTAGCTTGGCAAGTATAGGTCTCAGTTTCATCACTGCTTTTTTCTCTTTTATCCAGTAACTACAACAGTCTATACACTTGTTTTTTTTCATAGTGCACTCATAGCTCTCTGCCCTGGCCTATCACATGTAGTAAAACAGACTGGGAGACACTGATGTGTTTTATATAGAGTGAGGTATAGGACAGTGCTGAGCAGTTCTGCCTTGCTACACTAGATGCCTGCTATTTTCTAACTTTTTTGTAAGATTTAGTCATCTAGATTGCACATTCCTAAATAAAATGCTTACTATTGCTAAGCCAGTTTGGAAAACAAACCAACCAACCGAGGAAGTATTCAGCTGTCTTTCAAGTAGAGCCAGGAGGTTTAAGGATCAACTATGCTGCATTTTAAGTATTGCTGCGGTAGATTCGGGCACTTGAATTCCATCTTAGTCTTCAAACAATAGGCTTCCTTGCATCACCATGCTGTTAAGATTTATTTATCTGCCCCCCGCCCCGGGTTGTGAGAGAAGGCATTTGCTGCAACAGTAGGCATACATTATAGCTGGTGACAATGACACCGTTTTGGATTGTCTTTGTGCTGTTTTCATTCACTATAAAAGGGGTTTTGCCTCCTGGTCACAGGAAATTTTCCAGGGCTGGTAAAAATTCTGTCAACTTGGACTGTTCCCACCAAACACAAAACCACAATCTTGTTTACTTAGGCAGTTTAGACTGTGAAGCCATGTCATGAATGCAGGAAACTACACACAACTCAAAGTGGAAGATCTTCTAGTCTTTGCTTTCCTTTAATACGACTGCTACTGGAAAGATGTAAAATGAGAATGTTAATTGCATAATAGCTTTTTCAAGCTGAACAGGTATGTATGTGTTGACTGTACATGGCAAGGTGTTTTATTTCTAGCTGCACATGACTGTCCTTCATGTTTCGGTACTGTTGTATCAAATAACTTACATTAGATAGTTGTACCGTAGCACTGATGCTTGCCATTGTATTTGTATTTTACCAATAAAATACAGTACTTAGATGAAGTGTGGATTCTGATTCACTCAAAAATAGCAGACCATAATTTCTTTTTGTAAGCCAAATCCTAGCTGAAGAATTCTGACTTGCAGTAGGAGTGGGTGGATAGGAGGTCTCTAACAGCAGCAGAATTGTGTGTTTCAACCTGGTTGTCTCTATTGTGTTGTGGTTTTTGTGCTTTTAAAGGAGCTGTAATTTAGAATTTAGCAAGAAATGGAAGAACACAGGAGGTGGGGGACTGTGTTAAGCCTGGTGTATGGAGAGTACTGAGGGGGCGGGGTTAATGCAGTTTATGTATACAAAAATATAAACTAGATGTGGACATAACCCTAATCATTTATGATTACTTCCCCATCTTTGAGAAAACAGGACTTACATCTAGACTAAAACCAGCTTACTTTGCAGAAGTGAGTAGAAGGAAAAAAAGCTGAAATTATTTTGTTAAACTGGAATCTAAGTAAATAAATTGCACAAAATTATGGACTGCAGAATTTTGACCTCAGCATACACTTCCATGTAACGTACAATAGGTAAAAGTGCTGTTTGGAGGACCTTTTTCGTTTCTTTTAACTTAAATTTCTTTTTGTTAAGTTCTAAATTTTTAACTCAAGAGATAAATCCTGAGGAGTCTTTCGCTTATTACAGATAGTAACAGATACAGACACTAAATTATTATCTTTTAATACTAAGCGTTTGTCTTGGTTTGAGGAATAAATGTGCAAAATGTAAATAAGAATTGGAAAAGAAATATATCTGGCAAAGAGGCTGCATTAATTTGTTGTTATATTTATTAGTAATTAAAGTAGATGAAAGTAACTTCGCATGTGGTGAATCAGCATTAAGTCATGGACTTTAGATTTCAGCAGCACACAAGCAAAAATTCCCTTTTTTTCATCCATCAGTAAACAAACATGACAGGAAGAAAACATTTTGGTTTGCTACAGCTTAAGTTACCACAGTTCATTTGTTAAAACCCTTCATTACACAGCAGTTACGATGTCTGGCCTTAAATGTCTTGGTGGGACAGAGCATATAGCAAATGTAAACAGGACAACCTTTTTCCACATGAATAGTTCCCATTTAAATTTTCTGTAGTACATACATTGTATGCATGTTGTATCATTCAGACAGGCAAGTTCAGTTTCCTGATCCTTCCATGATGTGCAGGCTAACATGTTAAGTTAATTGTTTTTAAATACATTAGTAGATCATGCATCTTAAACCCTGAGATTTGGAGTCTTAAGACTTCCTTTTCCTATTGCATGTTGTAGATGTTTTAATACAGCAACTTAAAATTTTCAGCACAGTTTTTCTTGATCGGGAAGGGGTACAATGTAGAAATCATTAGCTGTTAGCTCCTGATGCAGAGTAATGTATTTGGAAGCTTTCTTTGTCTGTGGGATCACAAATTTCTCTGTAAATTCACTTTTACTCATCTGTCGTTTTCCTTGTGCAGTCAGCACACTGTTAATGAATGCCAGTGCGTACGTGTAGCAGTTGTGGTCATGTTCGTCATACCTAGGAAAAATATCTCGTTGGCAAGAGTTAGCGCTAATCCATTAATTACTGTGCACGGAAGAATATTTTACTGAGTGAAATAAGGAAGTGCATGCTCTCCAAGAACTATTGCCACCTTCCTTTAATACAGGTGTTCAAATACATTCTATTCATCACAAGTTGTACTTTGCAGCCAGGGATACCAGAAACTGAGCATGAAAAAAAACCCAAACAAAAAAAAAAAAGGCAGCTGCAGCCTTTACAATAATGAGTTCTTATTTTTTATATTTATTTGGCTTTTACCTTGTTAACCTTTGCTCTTCCATGTATTGTTACTCTTTTATCTTGAAAACGTCTTCCTGCAGCAGCGATGTTAATTGTGTGCTACTACGTGCACTTCTTTCAGAGTGGCATTAACTTGGAAGCTTACTTAAAATCATGTAAATTCTATCAGTAATATATTGATACAGTTGCTATACGGTGTGCCAGTTGTACTCCCATTGGCAATTATTTGTGCCAATTGTGCAAGGCCAGAAATACTAACTGAATAGCAGCAGCCACCATTTAAAAGTTTTTTCCCCCCCCCCCCCCCCCCCACTACCCTGCCCTAGGAGCGTATGGTACTTACCTGTTCTTTTCACTGTCAGAATGTTTTCAGATTCTCCCAAATGCTTCATGTTGACCACTAACAACTTCAGTAATTTATTCCACTCCCTCACCACATAGTGCTGCTTTTTCCACTGGCCCTGTGTAACTGCATTTGATAACAGACCTGCTCAGACTCCTGTTTGCCATCTGCCCAATCCTCAAGCTTCTTCAGTAACTGCCTCATCCTGTGTCATTTTTCCCTTGTTCTTCTGGCCCCGTGACTCATTCCTTGCCTTGTACTGTCAGTGGCTCCATGGTCCCTGTTGCCACATGGAATCTTCTGTGAAGCTTGCCTGTCAGCCCTGGGCATTTACAAGGTGTTTTTGCAGGATCTGAGGCCTACGGCTGTCAAAAGCGACCCTGCGACCCTGAGCCCAGTTGAGGACAGCTCACTGTCTTCTTCAAAGCTCTTTTAAGGGTATCTGAAGTGACCTATGAGCTCCCATTCAGTAAGCAAGTGATTTGCTACCGTCTACTTACTTTACCAAAATAATTGTTAAGAAAAATAATGATGAGTAACTTCAGGAGTGGCCATCATTCACTGTGCAGTACAAAACCTCTGGAAACAACACTGAAAAAATTGTTGGGTTCACCAGCTCAGGGCTGAGCCTGCAGAGAGCCACAGCACATCTGGATAACTTTTATGAGTACACAATGGTTTCCTGAATCAGTTCCACAATTAAGCAAAGCACGTAACACCTCATTTCTGTTTGCACACTATCTTTGTATTTATAATGCAAAAGATTCTGTAATACACTTCTTACTACCCTCTGTGTCTTCTAGTTAGCACCTCATTTTTTGGAAGTGTGTCTTTATATCCCGACAAGCAAATCAGTAATTTAAGATACTGTCGGTCATGGCTGTGGCTGCTATTCTTTGCTGCTGTTATATACCATCCTTCCAGTAAATGAAAAGCAGTCAGGAAAATTAGAATCAGGCTTGGCCTGAACCCAAAGGAGTTACAGGGTTAGTTTAGCACAGTTCCTGTCCACTGAAAAAACAGAGAGTTAATTTAACATCTTTAAAAAAAAAAAGGTTGGTTTTCAGCAGTTTAGTGGTCACTGGTCTATTTGTGGAAAAAGTAGGTCACTTTGTCAGGAGGTGGCAGATGGGAGCACAAGCAAAGTAAAGCTTGTAGAAGAGATACACACACCTACCCACCTTCTACCAATGCTTTTTTGACATCAAGTTAGTTTTTGTAATAACGTTAAGGCACCGGGAACTGCTTAAGTACGAGACACAAATCCTATTGGCTTTACAAGTTCCACAGACATTTAAAAACTGTACTCTAGGTCAAATTCTTTCATCCCCTGGTATTAGGAAGATAATACATTATCTCTAAAATTTTAGAGTCAAGCACATACTGAATTGCTAAAACCTGCTTTTGATCTTTTGTGGGTTTTTTTCTTCTTTTATATAAGATGACATCAACAGCCATGCTCAGAACTGTGAGCAACAGTTCACAGAACTATGCTGACAGGCTGTTTGTTACAGGTACTGTTACTGATGGACAGTTCGAGGACTGGTGTTTTGGAGAGCAGGCTGCTTTGTCATCAGCAGGCTTGGTGATGTGGCAGTGCGTGTTCTAGCTGGGCTGCGTAACTTGTAACTGTCATCAGGCATTCACTTCAAGGAAAGCTACAAAGAACTGAACGTTCTTGCTGGAACGTACTGGTTTAATACAAAATATGTGGAAGTCTTTCTGTATTTAACTATCCAAAGCAATGTTAGGAACCAGCTGGAAGAGCTGGAAATGAGCCTGACTGTGTTTCCCATTTCTGATCACTGACAACAAAGAAGTCATCTGGATGTAGGATCTGGGCAAGAATCCCATCAGTGCAGTCAGCCTGTAAATGCAAACACACCTAAAACCGTTGAAACCGAGAAGATAGCGTTGCAGAATTGCCTGGGCTTTTCTACTTCTGTACTCAGCAGCGTACTCTTAAAGGTAATGTTTCATTGAACTGGGTTTTTTTCATGCAAAATTCTTTTGTTGCTGAAGAAAACTTCCCTCAAATGATCCCTTGTTTTAGAGCTTTAACATTCCAGCAGATGCATTTGTTACTTACAGCTTCAAAATACTCCCTTTATGTTTAGCAAGGCCAGTAAGTTTCAAGACGCCTGGCCAGACAGCATTGTTTAGACTGGTTTGTTAGAAATGTGTGTTCTAAAAGAGCAAGGCTCTGAATGAACCACAAGCCTCACAGGGTCAAAAATGGAATAGCCCAATTTACCATCCCAGACTAAAAACTCCTATTGCATCCAGCTTTTAAACTACATACCTGTGAGGAAGCCAGGCCTCTCCCACAGAAAATTCCTCTAGGAGCTTATCCCACTGCTGAAGAAGCCCAAACATGTCTGGCTGTACTAGCGGGATACTAATGCACTGTTCCCATCCAGTTTCAGCTCTGTGAATGCCCTCTTCGTTGTAATTATACACCACGCCTGAAAACAGAGAGCAATACATTGTCAGGTGGCACTGCAAATCAGAGCCATATTCTTTTTTTTCTTTTTTTTTTTTTAAAGTGATGAAAGCTACTACTAGTTTTCCATACTGCCATTCTTTCTTAGACTAGCTATACCATAGCTTCCCATCAGTGGCCTTCTGTGGCTACAGAGCAGAAAATGCAGTACTTGCTTTTATCAAGAACCTGTTCTTATTTTTACAATGTCATGTCAGCAGTCTTTTGATAATGAAAGCAACTTAAGGACCAGGCTTCTTTTTTAACCCCCCAAATTAGACCAGCTTTATATTAAACATCTGAAGTGAGATTTTGCAGGCTGTGCCCACTCTAGGAGAACCTGATGCGGTGTTTAACACGGCTTTTTAAAATTTCGTTCGTTTGTTTTTTGATTAGGGGTGTTTTTAGAATTAGCAAGAACTGCGTTCAAGTCAAAATTTCCCGTAACCTCTTTAAAGAAGTAGGCTGCCTAGCTTTTTCTCTCCCTGCGTCCGGAACAGAAGCCCCCCTGTCAATTCCGTTCCGTGCCCTGCGAAGAGCGAGCGGTGCGTGGCTTTGACTCGAAGCTCTCCGTGCTCACTGCTGCGAGGCGAGGGAAGCTCCCGGCCTCCAGGTTCTCTGACCTTTACGGGATAACTCTTTTGTAGCCAGCAGCCGAGCTCCGGCTCCGACACCCGCCGCACGCCGAGGCGGAGGGAAGCACCGGGCACCTGGACGTTGCCGCCCGCGTTTTTAACAGGTGCCGGACACCGCCGCAACAGCGGAGGCGGCTCCGAAACGCCTGCCGGGCAGTTCAGGTAATCGCCGGCCGCCCTAAACGGGGGCGACGCGGTCCGAAGACGAGGGACGGGGGACGGGCGGGGGTGTGGGGGGCAGCCAGCGAGCGCTTTTACCGTGAGTACTGGTGATGCCGACGTGCAGGTCGGATTCCCCGTCGTAGCCCCTGAAAGAAGAGCGGCGGTGTGGGCGACGGCCGCCGGCCCTCCCCCGCCCCCCTCCCGGACAGCCCCCCGCCTCGGAGCCGGCGGCACTCCTCACGCTCCCGGGACCCACCGGGCGGGCGGGGAGGCACGACTTTTACCTAAAAAACCCCCCCATTTTCCTCTCCGGACGGGGCTGGGGTCGGGACTTACAGGCTGGTGG